TTTACTAATTTCACTGTTCAAGTTTTTTATTCTTTACTGAATTTTTGTTGGTGTTGATTTGACCTATCAATAATTGATCAATTATTAAACCTTCACTTTGATGTTGAACTTGCCACTTTCTTATGAAGGTTTGCTTATTTTATTTTAAGGCAATTTCATCAGAGCATGCCTACAAATTAAAAAATTTTACATATGTTTTCTTAGTGCCATATCTTTTATTATTATGAAGAGAGTTTAAAAAATTCCTAATAATACTTTCAGAAAATCTGTTATGTCTGATTTGATATTTTCAGTATTTTTACAGGAGGATCTTATGCTTTAACTTGCAACCTTTCTTTGTCCTGTACTTTAGGTGTAGCTCTAGTTTTTTCTTGATTGCTGTTTAGTAATTCAGTCTGCCAATCTTTTGAATGTTAAGTTTAATTTATTTGTATTTACTGGGAGTATTGATATATTTGGACTAGTTTCTGTCCTCCTTAACCTATACTTTGTCATATTGTAACAGCATAGTGGGTTATTTCTTCAATCTCTTTCTCTCTTCCAGGCCATCACTTTTCTTTGGCTGTGTTTCATCTGTTGTTTAACCCATCCAGTGATTGTTTTTAAATTTAAAGTTTATATTTTTAATTCTAAACATTGTATTTTAAATTTTCTTAGTCCTTTCTTGTTATAGTCTTCATTATTTTTTAAATATATTTTATTGATTATGCTATTACAGTTGTCTCATTTTTTTTCATCCCTTTTTCTCCTCTGCCCTGTACCTGCCCTCCCACTGTCATTCCTCCACCTTAGTTCATGCCCATGGGTTGTACATATAAGTTCTTTGGCTTCTCCATCTCCCATACTGTTCTTAACCTCTCCCTGCCTATTTGGTACTTACTATTTATGCTTCTTATTCCCTGTACGTTTTTCACCATTCTCCCTGCTACCCCTCCCCACTGATTACCCTCCATGTGATCTCTATTTCTGTGAATCTGTTTCTATTCTAGTTCTTTGCCTCATTGGTTTTTATTTGTTTTAAGTTTAGTTGTTGATAGATGTGAGGTGGTTGTCATTTTACTGTTTGTATTTTTTATCTTTTTTTCCTTAGATAAGTCTTTTTAACATTTCATGTAATAAGGGCGATGCTGAACTCCTTTAACTTGATCTTATCTGGGAATCATTTTCTCTGCCCTTCCATTCTAAATGATAGCTTTGCTGGATAATCTTGGATGTATGTCCTTGCCTTCCATAGCTTTGAATACTTCTTTCTAGCCCCTTCTTGCCTGCAGGGTTTCTTTTGAGAAATCAGCTGACAGTCCTATGGGAACTCCTTTGTAGGTAACTGTCTCCTTTTCTCTTGCTGCTTTTAAGATTGTCTCCTTATCTTTAATCTTGGGTAATATCATTATGATGTGCCTAGGTGTGTGCTTCCTTGGGTCCAACTTCTTTGAGACACTCTGAGCTTCATGGACTTCCTCGAAATCTTACTTCCTTTGCCAGATTGGGGAAATTCTCCTTTATTATTTGTTTAGATAAGTTTTTAATTTCTTGCTCTTCCTCTTCTTCTGGTACCCCTATGATTCATATATTGGAATGATTAAACATGTCCTGGAGGTTCCTAAGCCTCTTTCATTTTTTTTGAATTCTTGTTTCTTCATTCTGTTCTGGTTGAATGTTTCTTTCTTTCTTCCTTCTGCTCCAAATGGTTGATCTGAGTCCCAGTTTCCTTCTCGTCACTCTTGGTTCCCTGTTCATTTTCCTTTATTTCACTTTGCATAGCTTTTCACTTTTTTCTCTATTTTGCAATAATACTCAACCATTTCTGTGCTCATCCTGATTACCTGTGTTTTGCAGTATGCATCTGATAGGTTGGCTATCTCTTTGTTGGTTAGTTGTATTTTCTGGAGCTTTGATCTGTTCTTTCATTTGGGCCATATTTTTTTTTTTGTCTTGGCCTACCTGTTTTGTAGTAAAGGGTGGAGCCTTAGATATTCATCAGGGTGGGGCAACCCATGGTGCTGCATTGTGGTGCTGTATGTGGGGGAGGGGTCCAAGAGGGAACAGTGATGCTTGCTGGGCTCTCTGTTGGTTTTCATTCACTTTCCCCACTTCCCACAAGCAAATTGGGCCCTTCAGGTGCTGATTCCTGGGTGAGTGGTTTTGTTTATATTCTAAGACCCTGTGTGTCTCTCCAGTGAACTCTCTTGTGAGGCTGGGAGTTTCTCCTGGCCCCCTCAACTCCCACAGGTTTTTAGTCAGAGGTTTTGAGGCTTTTTTTCCCTACACTGGAACCCTGGGTTGCACTGTCTTGCGCCCTAGTTTTTCCTCCCGGTTTATCTGAATGCAAATATGGTATGGTCCACTCTGCCAGCTGCCCCCTTGCCTGCCCCAGTCCTCCAGTTGCTACCTTGCCGGGAGTCCTCTCCATCCTGGCTTCCTGTCTCTGCCCCTCCTACCAGTCTGGATGAATGTTTCTACTTTAACTTCTTTGTTGTTGGACTTCCTTACAGTTTGATTTTCTGGCAGTTCTAGTTATTTTTTGTTAAATTTGTTGTCCTCTTTTGGTTGTGCGAGGAGGTAAAGTGTATCTACCTATGCCTCCATCTTCTCCAGAAGTCTTCATTATTTTCACTTTGTCTCTTCTTTTGATAAACATTTCACACAGTTATTTTGTATCTAATCATTCTAATATAGGAGGCAGAGAGTTTTTCAAGTATCAAACTTTGTAATAACTTAAAAGGATATAAGCAGTCAAGAAGGGTAGAAGTAGGTAGTGGTTTGAGACAGCCTGTATGGCCCCCTTTCCACATTGGACACATGTTCTTTGGCCCAAAATAATAAGTGAAGTCTCTTAATTGAGGTTCATGGGTCTCTGTGTACTGTTGGAAGTACCTATATTCTAAAACATCTCTTTTCAACAGTAGAGTGGTGTTTCATAATCTTTACACTATTGATATTTTTGGACTAGATTTAGTAATTTTCAGCCTTTTCATTTCATGGCACACATAAACTAATTAGTAAAATTCTGTGGAACACCAAAATATATATTTTTGCCTATCTGATCAAAAAATAGATATAATTTTGATTTATTCAAATCAGCAGCTGTTGTTATATAGCTATTGTCCTTTTTTTATTTGACATTCTAAGGGAAAAGAGGTCATTGCCCCTGACTAAATAGTCAGGTATTTTGTTGCAGTCTCCGGCCAGCAGAGTCTGTGTGTTGTGGCTGAAGATGAGGACAAATGCACACAGACTACAGCAGTCCTGTGGAGAAAGAGGGACGGTATAGTACTCTCTTAAGATGAGAGTCCTACGACTGCTTCTCTCAAGGGGAGAGTGCCCCGACCCTTGCCTGGACAGGCTTTTATTGTTTCTTCCGGGTCTTATTCTCTATTACATAAAATGTTGTCTACATTTTAGGTGCAATGAAGGAAATGAAAATAACAGTGCTGAAGGGAAAGGTTGCCAGCTGATTACATTACGTCCTTGGGAAAGTTCATACAGGCTTTGGAAATTACCTTGAAAATAGGCAATTAAGACCAGGGTGAGGGAGTTTTAGCAAGAGCAAGCCATAACAGTCTGGATGTATGGATGCATTTTCTGGGCCCGATTCCCATGGGAAAACCGGTCTGAGGGTCTGGCTTCTGCCCACCACTTTGCTCCTGTGGGCTTTTCGATGTAGGGCTGAGTGACATTTGCCATCATCAAACAGACTGGTTGCCTACAGTATTGCATATTTTAAAAAAAATTGTGTTATACCAGTGTGCCTGCTGTGGCACACGGATAGAAAATTGCTGGGCTAGGTAATTCTTTGTTGTTGGGAGGCCATCCTGTGTATTATAGGATGTTTAGCAGCATCACTTGCGTCTACCCACCAAAAGCCGTTAGTATTCCTCCAGCTGTGATAACTTAAAATGTCATCAGATATTGCCAAATGACCCTTAGAAGACAAAATATTCCTAATTGAGAACTATCCTAAAGACTTATATTGCTTATGTGACATTCTGCAGAGGGCCAATAAGCAGCAGTTCTAAACCAGGATAAACAGAGAGTATTCCGGAGATAAGGACGCCCCTCATAGTAAATGTTACTAGTCTGTTTGCCAGAAAGTTAGTTGTCAGCATGTAAAAAAGGAGATTAGATCAGGTCATCTGACTTCTTTCTTTTCCTGGAAGTTCTTCCCTTTACCAGCTACTAGAATTTGTTCCTCCTCTGTTCTTCAGTCTCCCTGTTAGCATTGTTTCCTTTTCTCCCTTTTTCTTCCTTTTACTATTTACCAAATAATTATTGAGTGACAAAGATAAGAACCTTATTCTTTGTCGTATAACATAACACATAAGTAAATAAGTAAATGTCAAATATTAATTAGTGTTATAATGAAATTTTGTGCTGTGATAGACAGTAACTGAGTAGCTATCCTATCTTAGATTGGTCAAGAAAGGCCCTTCTTGATCTTTTAAGCTAAGACTAGGACCTGTGTGTCAAGGAGTGAGCTATATGAACATTGGAAGAGCATTCCAAGCAGAGAACCACTAATGCCAATGGACTTATGTGCAAGTGTACATTTTTAAGATAAAAAATGAAACATGTTTAAAAAGAAACAAAACAAAGCAGTGAGATTCCGAAGGCATGGGACAATGTGAGATGAAATCAGTGAGCATAAAACAAAACTGAAGAAAAGATGGGCAAGTGCTTTCTTCCCCTCTCTCAGTATCATTGCCAGAGTAATACAGTATTTGAGACCTGTACTTCGGAATCTGTAGAACTCCTTTGGAAGGAATGTTATAGTAGTGCCCACACACATTTTTGTTTGTTTCTTTTTCCTTTCTCCGAATATAGCCAGTGTGCTATTAAAAAAATAAAACCTTCATGGGTACAAAATGTGTCAGGAGAATTATTCAACATTGGTAACAATTGCTTTTTAACTAATTTGTTACCTCTGTCTTATATAGATAAATTTATTGAGTTTGATTACCTTTCCCACTTGCTCCCAACAGATAAATATCATCCTGTTTCAGTTTCAGGTTTCTCATTGTACGGATCATTGATTGAATTAATAGATGACTTTACCTCGGCTCACAGGAGCCTTGCGCTCCTTTTCAAATGTCACCAAGCAAGATAATTATAATGAAGAAGTAGCTGACTTAAAGGTAATTTGTTTTAAAGATGAAAACCATTATAAATAGAGGATACAGACAAGTATTTGGCATTTCTTTTTCTCAGTTCTGTGTGATTAAAATGTTTATCTGCTAAGAGGAATGTATATACTGATGTTTTTTAATGGGAATTTTTATCTTAAGCACATATAACTGTATTGTCAAAGAGAATAATCAGAACTATGGTATTGAATCCTTTGTTAATTTTTCTACTACTAATGTTTCTGCCACAGTTAATTTTGTAATTCAGTCCAGTAACTTACCCCTGGGTTGTCTGAGTAAGTTTTTTGGTCTCTGATAAATTCTTACTTGATGGAGAAAAACAATGTACAACATGGGGAAATGAATTTTACTCTTTCAAACTTAATATCAGGTCTCATAATTGACTTCTGTGTGGTCTTTGTAATTGGTTGTGGGGTTTATAGTCCTGAAGGTATATGAACTGTACTTAATGAAGGAATGAGTCATCTGCTATAGTATATAAAGAAACTGGTCCTATGCTGTTTTTATGAAAAAAAAAAAAAAAAAAACCCAAAAAACAAAAACAAAAAACAGCCATGCCCTGGCTGGTGTGGCTGAGTGGATTGAGCAGTGGCCTGCGAACTGGAAGACTGTAGGTTCGATTCCAGGTCAAGGGCATATGCCTCTGTTGCGGGGGCCAGGTGCCCAGTTGGAGGTATATAAGAGCCAGTTGATTGATGCTTCTCTTGTAGGTATTTCTCCCCCTCTCTTTCTCCTTCCTTTCCCCTCTCTCTAAAAATTAATAAATAAAAATCTTAAAAAAACACCCATTTTGCTGACTTATTTGACTCTATTATAGAATACTAACACTGTTTCCTAATAGGTTAGAATTTTAATGCTTAAAGTCTTTGGCTAGGTAGGTCAGTTGGTTATAATGTTGTCTTGATATGCCAAGGTCCAGGGTTTGATCCCCAGTCAAGACACATACAAGAGTCAACCAATGAATGTGTAAATAAGTGGAACAACAAATCAATGTTTCTCTCTCTCTTCCCCCTTCCCCCCTCTCTCTCTAAAAAAAAAATCAATCATTTTTTATTAAAAATGATTAATAAAATCAATTTTTTTTATTAAAAATGAAGCCCTTGTTCAGTTTTACAATTAATATCTTAAAGATTGATACTAGGAAGAAATAATTTGTAACAGATTTTAGGTAGATTTGTTTTTCTTTAAAGGTAATACAGAATTTTGCTACAACAAAAAGTTAACCTTTTTTAGGATGGGAGCTGTTTTGCATTTTCATAACAATTAAAATAAGGATATATTCTATACAATTAATTAATATTGCTATCTTAATCTGGAATTACCTGTATTTTTCGGACTATAAGACACACTCCCCCCATCCCCCACCCTCAAATTGGGGAGGGATAATGGTTGTGAATGCTGCTGTTGAGTTCTGTTTACATTTACATTGGTGAAATTATTATGTTATTTATGTTATTAAATATTTTACCATATTTTTTGCTTCAACATTTTTTTCCTATTTTCCTCTAAAACCTAGGTAGGTGCATCTTATGGTCTGAAAAAAGACGGTATTTACTCTTCTCACCTAACCAAATTCCTTTATCGGCCCTCGTGTATTAGGTATACAATAGAAGATTTTAGAATTTGAAAGTGACAAGTACTACATGATTATTCCATGTCATTTCATTTATTATTGTAGGCTTTTATATAACTTTCTGCCCCTTGAGGAAAAAGAGTGGCAGATACTTTGAGCTTCATTTTAATTTAATTTTTTATGTTTGGAAATTTCGAACATATACGAAAGAGATAAAAGAGATGAAGCTTTATGTAGTGTGACCCATTGTAACAACTTATTTCAATTTATGGTTAATCTTTTTTCATATCTACATTTGCCCATTTTCTTCTCCTTAAACCCAGATTAATTAGCTCCATTTTTAATTATAAAACTGAAGCAGGGTAGTAATAATGAATTATTCAATATTATCAGTGCAACCAAGAGAAACATGTCAATCTTTTGTGTGACCCACTACTTTTTCATTTGTTCAAGGGCCTCCTGAAGTTTACCAAGGCCAATGATATGGAGTAAACATTGCTTTCTGTTTCAGTTCTTGAGAAATCAAAGATTTAAAATCTTAAGAAAAGAGTGTGTATAGATAAGAACCTCCTGGATGCCTATCCTGTTCTAGGATCATACTTAGGAGAACAATGCTGATTTGAATATATTGAACTCATCATAGGAATCTTAATTTTTTTAAATGCCTTTCATCAAAAGCATGACAGAAGTTCTTATATACAATGTGGTCTAAGGTTTGTTAAAAATAAAGGAGAAATATAGAGGTACGTGGGATGTTACCTATTATCATTTGAATGTAGGACATTTTGCTTTTTATTTTACTGTATGAAAATAATTTTATAGTGATTATTCATTGTGATTACAATGGTAAAAAAGCTTTTATTAAAGATATCTTTTAAATAAATAAGATTCTCTTTAATCTTTTTCAAATAAGGCTCCTTCTGGGAGTAGTAAATTTAGATGTGAATAGATAAAATTTTGAATTCTTGTGGGTGGTACCAAGTTATATAATGTAATGCAAAACTTGCAATAAATGATGGTTTGAGAAAACCTTTAACCAGTATGTCTCTGTTATGTCTTTCAGATAAAGCGGTCTAAACTTCATGAACAAATTGTAGGTTTGGATCTGACATGGAAGAAGTTAGTAACATTTTTGAATGAAAAACTGGAGAAGAATGAAATGCAAAGTGTAAATGAAGACTTAAAAGATATATTACAGGCTGCAAAACAAATAGGTATAGTTTTGTTTTGTTTATTTAAAAACTAAGGATCAAAAATACATTTCTTTTAAATTATATATTATAGAGTAAAAGGCTAAAATTTCTAAGCAAACATTCATAATTACTGAAAGACCATCTTACCTCTTAAGGAGCTTAGGTTAGAGTCAGGGAGGTAGAATTAAACAATTACTAGTATAATCAGACATGAAGGATTTATAGCACAGGTGGCAAACACAAGGCCTGAGGGCCGAATCTGGCCCTCCACGTTGTTTTATCCAGCCTGGCATGTTGTTTCTACCCAGCGGCAGCACTGAGCTCCTTGCCCCTAGTTAAGGAGTAGTTACATTTATACAGTCCTAAAATTACATTTGGCCCTTTGAAATCAACCGTGAGGCTGATGTGGCCCCTGGTAAAAATGAGTTTGACACCCCTAATTTATAGGAATTATAGCAATTTAGAATTTAAAACCACTGCCTTACTTGAAATAAGTAAGATAAATTAAAATTAAATTTAATAAGGTAAATTAAAATTTTAATGTAGCTTGAAAGAGACCTTAAAAGTCATGTAGCTCATTCTCTTACAGATGCTCATCTAGCACGTAATGAAGGGCAACACTGGAGCTGAACTTTGCTTCAGGTCTTGTTATACACTATAACTTTCTCATCAATTGATTATATTTGGCAGAAATTATAATTAGAGATTGTAATTACTATATGTTTAACACATGTTACTTTCCTAGGGTTGAAAATAAAATAAAAAAAAAATGACTCTGGTAAAACATCTGAGTTTGTTCATTGACATTTATTATCACATTTCTGACTCTGATAATTAAAAAGTGTAGTTAACACTACTATAATTCAGGTTTGTTACCTGTAAAAGGTTTAAACCAGTACTTAGGCCTTATATAATCTGGCATCCACCTTTCTCTCTGACTTGGACTCATCCTTGCCTTCACTGACTGTGTTATAGACACATGGCCTTTTCTCACTTCCTCAGACCCACTGAGTTACTGCCTGTTTTGGGGTCTTTGTACTGCTGTTTCCTTTGCTGAGAATGTTCTGCTCTAATCCTAGAGTGGTGGTTGTTATTCTGAACTCACCTAAAAAAATTGTTTCCTTAATGAGGCCCTCATTGACCATCCAGTCTTATATTATTACCCAGTCACTCTTTATCTTGTAAACTTTGGGAGCATTTTCTCCGTAACATTTATTGTTACTGATATTTTGCTTGTTTATTTTCTGGGTTTTTTTGGGGGGGTTTTTTGCCACTAGATACAAGTTTCATGAGAATAGGGTCGTATTTTTCTTGTTGAATACTCTGTTCTCAGTGTGTAAAATAGTACCTGCATGTTTTAGATTCTTAATGAAGTTTCACTTGATAAGTCAATGATAAAAGTTTTCTCAGGTGATTTCTTGGTAGAGAGAAAATTAAATCATTATCATATGTTGGTTGGCAGTTTTTCTTACACCGGCTTTGAAGGGTATTTCCCTTTAAACACACCCATGTGTGTGATGCTTCTTATTTATGCTCAACTCCTTTAATTTATTTTTTAAATATTTTGATATCATTTATTATTGGTTTGTAATATAGTATAATATTGACTTAATGTTCTCATTGTTTTAAGTTGTAAAAGTACAAAATGAATGTTGTGTATGTTTGTGCATTTAGATGATCTTTTAAAGTTCAAGGGCATTAGTAAAACTTGAGTTTGCTGAAGCTTAGGGGAAATAGCTCACTTTGCTGAAATTTGTGGTAGCATTTGGCATATAATCACATTTTATATTTTAAGAATATAGAGGCAGTTAGGTTCACTGAAAACAATGCAGTCTCCAGTCTACCTAGATCACCTTGACTAGGCCCTAACCCTCTGGACTTCACTGTCTTTATTTCTAAGATGTTAAGGCTACTGGGGAGTGGTCTAATAAAGTACTTTTCAAAAACTGCAGTGTTCTTCCTCTTCTTTAGTTTCATTATTAAAATACCTCAGAATACTTAGCAAAACAAGTAGTAAAATACTGAGCTTATTCAGTACCACAACTAAATTATTTCTTTATATAAGTAATGTGGAAATTAAGATGAAAAAACATACCCTTCAGACTACTTCTCAAATGTCTCTGACAAGTCAAAAATCAGTGCTTTAAATATCAGTCATTAAACGTAATTCTAGGAGTTTTGCCTGTCTGTGAAACATCTGATTCATACTTAGGGACTAATCTGTTGACTGATGCATTTAAGGAATTGATTATTTTTTAATATCGCAGAAAAATATTTTTATGACAGATAAAATCTTAGGGTTGAATTTATGTAAATACTCTGTTATGTGTACTTTTAATGCTATATTTAAGTTAAATAACTGTTAGCTTTAATGAAACTAATGGTCAACCAGTAGTCAGCTATTCTTTCTGTAATCCTAGATTCTTTTCCATTTCTTGTAGTCATAGGTCAGAATATGAAAATATTGCTGATACTTGAAATGTAATTAAAACTAGCAGCTTTGAAAAGATTAGTCTTATGGTAAACATGTCTTTGTGATTTCTCTTATGCTGCTCTTTTAACAGATATTTTTGGTGTAATGTATTAAAAAAGGTAGAGCAAGAGAATAAGTAAAAAGAACAATCACTTACATTTTAATTGAGTACGATATAGTAATATGAGGTACTTGCTTGAGACCATGCACATTGACTAGAGTAAGGGGTATTTTAAGCAGGTGTGGACAGCACGGAATATGGTGTCCAATCCTTTCATTTTGTATGTAAAGAAAAGAAGGCTCATTAAAGATTTAAGTGAATCCCATGGTTGATTTGTGGTGAAGGTAGGCCTATTCCCAAATTTTGAAACAGAAACATGTTGGAAATTCTACATTTTTTACTTTTCTTGTCAAGTTCTGTCAAGTCTACGTCTCAGCTGCTCTTAAAATCACTTCCTCTACATGTTTACCATTGTCTAGTTTAAGCTTTCACCTTCTGATGTTTGAACTATTGCATTAGCCTATTGCCTCAGCCTTCTTTCCTTACTCATTTTCTTGCCTGTGATTAGACTGATCTTTGTAAAAAAAAGCAAAGCAAAGCTCATTTTTATTTTCAGCTTACTCTTTATATTCCTGCAAAGGAATTAGAAAAGCTCCTTTATGAGTTAAAGCAATGTACGTTTTCATTCTGTCACATGAAAGCTTTACTCTTAACATATACATTTACTATCTTAATTTCCTGAACAAAGCTTACTGTTTTTTTCCTCTTTGTTATTTATGTGTTATAGTAACTTTCCCCATTGTGTTCATCTGGGTAAATGCTTCTCATCTCTGAAGAAATGGCTTAGGCTTCATATATATCTTATTATTCCTTTCTAATCTTAGTAGTGTTCCATTAGATTATCATCTATTCCATACTTTTTAGGAGTACTTTCTCATTGTTGGATAATTGTTACACCTGTTCCTTCCCTGAAGGACTGTGAGTGCCTTGATAATACAGGAATTTCACGGATCACAGTATCTTTGTACTCTAGTGTTTAATGTGTTGTGGGGGATACAGTAGATGTTCAATAAATAAATGAATCATTGAAAATACAACCAAAATTCCTATATGATCTTTACTACCTCTAATACAGGCAGTGTGTTACAAGTGACACCTGTTGTTATTTTAAAGCATTTTTTCTTCTCAGATTTATATTTACTATATTCTCATACCTATTTATAATGTTATTCTTCCCTCTTTTTTTAAAAGATTTTATTTATTCATTTCTAGAGGGTAAGTGGGGGAGAAAGAGAGGGAGAAAAACATCACTGTGTGGTTGCCTCTCACGTGTCCCCTACTGGGGACCTGGCCTGCAGCCCAGGCATGTGCCCTGACTGGGAATCCAGCTGGCGACCCTTTGGTTCATAGGCCAGCGCTCAGTCCACTGAGCCACACCAGCCAGGCTTATTCTTCCCTCTTGATTATTGTAATAATAAAATGGAGCTTTGAGGAGAAAATATTATAAACTGTTTAACAGTGGTATTCTTGGCACTTAGTTTTAGTTTATCCAAATACTCATTGTAGACATTGCTACCTCCTCTGGATTTTGACTGGGAAACATAGTTACATAAACCTGTATTCTGTGCACAATGAAACTATGTCAATATTTTATGTGCTTCAAATGAAAACATTTTTAAAAATAAAGAGGCCAAGATTGAGAGTAGCAGTCAGTAAAATGAATCATGTCATAAGCATATATCTTTGTTACTTACAGTTTTAAATTATTATCAGAGGAGGTTGATTTTCCTGTATTATTACAGGAGTTTTAAGTTTTCACACCATAAATAGAAACTAGAATGGGGGTCAAGAATGGTGGGAAGGTCAGTAGAAAGACCCAACAGTTCCCTAGTCAGCTATGTAATTGGTCTCTTTCTCTCAAGGCCAGACTAGGGTGATCTAATGATTTTACTCTGGTCTTCTGGATACAAATCAGGACTCAGCCATAAGTGAACTAGTTTTTTTCCCCCAGTATTCACATTGTTTTGTCATGTACAGATTTACTTGTTTTGCCTTTTCTAATTTATAACTCCTGCTTTATTTGGGTTTTGCTATTTTTATGTATTTTATGTTTAATAACTTTTTTTAATAACAATATGAATCAAAAGGTAGGTTGGGCAGGACTGACTTACAAAATGTGGTTTAGGGAATTTGGGGACCTTTTGTGTTTTTTGAGTTGTCAAGGAAATAAGATTTTGGTATAAAAAAGTGAGGAATCAAAACCGAAGGTGAAAACAGTTTATAAAGCAATGACTGGAAAAGGAGAGAAATAAAGATATTAGTAGGATCTGGCAATTCTGTCTATAGAAGTAAGGGTAGGCATTTAAAATAATAAAGGTGTGTTGTGTATTGGATGAGGCAGGAGGTTTTTCAGGAGTTTTATAAAAAACAGCTATCTTGAAAATTGTAGATTTCAAAAAAGTTCAGAGTTCCACTTACCATAAATTGGTAGAAAAGTAATTTGGAACAATTTTCTGCTGAGAAAAATAGAAAAACTGTAAAATAGAA